GCTGCATGAGTGCTGGACATAGTGTCATCTTGAATGCATGACGCGCTGGGTTTGATCCCTAGCACCATTAGAAAAAGAAAAGGTGAGATGATATCACCATCCTAGAAGCCAGCCAACGAATTAGTGGCCGATGCCCTATGAGTGCCAAGGACAGGCAGCACCATGCTGGGATCCTGTGGCCTCTGACATGGCCCACAGGCTCTCAAAGAGCCAGGGCCAGGCCACAAATGCCCAGCCTGGCACCTGGCGAGCAGCAGGAACCTGTAACAAGCACCCACAAAGACAGCAGGCTCACATTCCCAGGGCTCTTCTGGGGCCTTATCCGGACACAGTGTTCTTGCCAATAGTCAGGCAGCTAAAGAAAAACACCCCAGTGACCACACACATAAAGCAGACCTCACAGAAATTCCATCTCCAGCTGCCTGTGACATGGCCACAGCAAGGTCACAACTGGCCAGACCTGCAGGGGACACTGAATCCCCAGAGGCTCATGTGACCCTTATCACCATCTCCTTTATAATATATTAAGGGAAGAGCAAGAGAGACGGGTGCCCTCAATGCCAACGGGCAAGGACAGAGCGGCACTGCCAGGGACACAGGAAAAGACACACCTACATAGTCTCCTGGGTCAAGTCTCAGAGGCCCCATGTGGCTGGGAAAACAGGCAGGAGACAGTCACTCTGGACAGAGACTTCCCTGTGCCCCAGCCTGCACCCTTCCGGCAAGCAAGCACAGAGATACCCAGTAGGCACCTAAAGGGGACAGGGAATGCAGTGTACTTCATTTGACCCAAGAGAGCTGAGACATGGGGACAGCAGCCAGAGATCCGTATCCTACATAAGCAAGGGAGGCCTGGGTCACCACAGAGCTGCAGCCACCTGGTGGACTGGGGCCAGAGCAGGCCACGGATGATGTCCAGGGTCAGACAGAGCTCATCTGAGCCCCTTCCTCGACTGAGTGACCTGGGCAGATGGCTTCACCAGGCTGGGCCCTGCGTTCTCTCACCTCTAAATCTCTAAGGTGGGGGGTCATCATCCTTGCCCTAGAAGGATGTTCAGGATTCTCTTTGCAGACTCAACCCACACTCATGATGGAGCATTCCACTGGGGCAGATCTGGGAGCTGATGCATGGTGAACACCAGGCATGAAACATCGCCACACTCACATCCTTGTGTGTTTAAAGATCCTGGCCAATCACAGGCTCAAACTGTAGCCCCTTCCCAGCCCCCAGCTCCTCTAGATCATCCCCAGTGCACAGGCACTCCAAGGGGTAGCCAGCCCAGCCCCATGGCTTCTCTAGGTTCCTATGGGAAGACAGAGGAAATTTCTCCCATTGCCATATAAGGCTGGGCCTGGCTGGCCTGGGGTCACCTACCATGCCATCAGGGCGTGGGGAATGCCAGCTATGTAGAGGGAGTAGGAGGCCCTTGCCTGGTCCAGCTTGCTCCGGTAGTGCTGACATGTACACACCCCCAGTGTGGAAGGGGGCTGGGCATCCACAAAAGGGGTCACTGAAGTCCAGAGCTGAAGCAAATATATAGTCTAAGATCTACTGTGGCTGGGTTGGTTTTTGTTTGTTGTTTATTTTGTTTGAGATAGGGTTTCCCTCTGTAACCCTGGCTGGCCTGGGACTCATAACCTTCCTGCTTGAGCCTCCCAGTTGCTTTCATGACAGGCACACACCACCACCTCTGGCTAAATTGTGGCTGTTTAATCTCAGGCAATTAACTTCTCTGAGCCTGGTGGTCATAAAATGGGAATGATATTGCCTATACTACCCAGTGTTAAGAGTGAGTATTCAACATACCTGGTGTAGCATTAGCACACTCCAAGGAACCAGAAAGTAGAAACCAAAATGGGGCCTTTGAAAGAGTTCAGTGGGTAAAGGTGTTTGCTGCTAAACCTGATGACCTGAGTTCGATCCCTGGTACCCACATGGTAGAAGAGGAAAACCAACACCTCCAAGTTGTCCTTTGACCTTCAAACACAGCCTGGGTTGTGTCTGTTGCATACACTTACACATACACTCAGCCTGTGGTGTGTCTGCTGCACACACTTACATATACACTAATAAGTTAAAGGAACTTTAAAAATATTTTTTTTGCTATTGTTTTTATTCAAGACAAGGTTTTCCTGTGTAGCCTTGGCTTTCCTGGAACTCACTCTGTAGACCAGGCTGGCCTTGAACTCACAGAGATCCACTTGTCTCTTCCTGCTAAGTTCTGGGATTAAAGGTGTGTGCCAGCACTGCCAGGCAACAATAATTTTAAAGGAAAAAACTAAAGCGAACCCCTAAACAGCTGCATTGTGTTGCTCCCTGCCTCTTCTCCCCTCAGTGTTCTCTGGCCCCACCAGAGTGTTAGACGACTCTTGTCACCCTTATAATAACAATTACTAAGACTGAGCTACCTTGCTGAACACAAAATGCTACTCACTCCAGGGATGGGGAAAAGCCCTAAGGGAAACTGGAGTATTGGTCCAGAAAAAGCTCCCTAGAGCTAGGCTCTGCCCCAGATAGCAGCTGGTAGTGCCCAAGCTAATGGGCACAACAGCTGGCCACACAACCCCCATGTCCTGAGTCACAAAGTGGTGCCTGCATGGGTTCTTGCTTAGATGGGGCCATCAGGCACTGCTCAGTGCAGCCCAGCTCAGCATCTCAGAATCCCCACTCCAGTAGGCAGCGAAGGTGCTCTCCACTGGAAGACAATCTAACTGTCAACGCAGCTCCCTAGAGTATTGTATTCTGAGGACTTCATTGCAGACTTGGCCATGGGCCAACCAGACTGGGACCCTCAAGCAGAGCCACCCAAAACTCTTGAGTCTGTCCTTCTCCACTGACTGTTGCAGGGGTTCAAAAGGGGTGGGTCCACTGCACCCACTGCCGGAAAGAGGGAGCAGCAGGTACATCCCTAGCATACCTCCATGCCTACTCCCTATACCTGAAGACTTTACACAAATGGTGATGCTCACAACAGCCAATGCTGTGCATTTCACACACATCATCTGGCTGAAAAAAAAATCACTACTCTTATCTCTTGCTGGCAAGGAGGATCAGAGAGGTGAAGCAGCTTGGTGAACTCACACAGCCAGTGCTTGGCAGCCTGCCTCCTGGCTCTGATTATAGTGTAGTCACCTTGGCCTATTGTAATGTGGGAGAAGCTCAGCCATCTAGCATAATCTTCTAGGAACCCACACTCTGGATTATACTACAGCCTCATATTGCCTAAGCTTATGTGGAAGAACTTAAAACGGCACCTGCAGGAAAGAGACACTAGGTTGTGAGCTGTGCCAGTTGCTCCTGTGTGCAACGGCTCAGATGCCTGCCCTCTCCAGGTATTTGAAGTCCTGAAATGGTTAGATCACAGCTCCTACTGGTCCACTTTCTGCAATCAGCCCCTGATAGCCACAGGCCCTCCCTCTTTTGAGCCATCTTCTGGTCCCACCCCATCCCAAGCTTTGGTCAGTACCCCGCAAGGGTCGGGTCAGCACAGAAAGTCCCAAGATCTCAGCTTTTTTGACTCCTCTAACGAAGGTCACCTAATTCCCATCTCCAGTTGTCTCTGGCTTAGGGTCCTTTGGCTATGGGTAGAGTCAGCTAGCACAAAACCTGCCTAACCAAGTGGCCCAGTGGGCTGTATGAGATCATGGTCTCAGATTCCTGTCCAGAAAGCAAAAGCAGCCAAGGCTGGGGTGGTGCTTAGGGACCTTCCAGAAGCCCTGCAGGCCTGCCCTGAGCCCAGCCAGATGTCCACAACCCCTGAAGCCAAGCTTTAAGACAAGCACTGAGGGGCGAGGAGGGGGTGGTAGTATAAGAGAGCCCAGAGCCCTCCAGGGACTCCTGGACCTAGTCATGGGAAGAGATGCCTATCTAGATCTATGACATGCATGAAAATAAAGACAGCAATAGGGAAGAAACACTTCAAGGTATCACAGCCCCCACATCTCCAATGACCTCCAGTGTGTTGTCCTAGCTCCCCACCAGGGATCCTAGTTTGTTCCCCTGGGTATACTGAGACCAGAGGGGCAAATAAGGGGAAATGCCTAGTCTTGTGTCAGTGGGCTACCTTTGCCCCCATGTATTAATAATTCAATATGCTTGCCAAGCAAGGAGAAGGTCCTGAGTTTAGTCTCCAGTACAGGGAGAGAAAGAGAGAGAGAGAGAGAGAGAGAGAGAGAGAGAGAGAGAGAGAGAGAGAGAGAGAGAGAGAAACTCTAATACCCCAGTGGGATAGCTCTCTAGAGCTAGACCCCAGACCATTCCAGCTCCATGCCTTACTGAGCCCACAAAGTGGCCATGCTGGAGGTGAGAAACCCTTTCTATAGACACTAGTCATGTCTGAACCCTGATCCTGAGAACTGTAAAGCTGCAGACTGTCCCACCCCCGTGCTTTGCCAATCCAGGAGGCCCTGACACCTTTCTTAATCTCCAGGGATCTACACACTCAGTAGCAAACGTACGGAGCTGCTATTGTGTGTCTGGCAGCAGCGGAAGGATTTCTTTCTAGAACTTCCCTGGACCGGTTTTAAAAAAATAAAAAAGGCAGTCCCTAGGGCAACTTTTCAAAAAGCTGGTGAAAAAGAGCTGTGTCGGAGTTGGAGGTGTGAGGCGACAGGGAAATGCCAGCATCGGCCAGCCAACCCCCAGTGTTAAGTTCTGTGGTCCATAGGGACAGCACTGGACCAGGGGTCTCTTCTGGCGCCAAAATCCTTACGTGGTCCCCAGCGAACTACCGGGAAGCCACTGCCCGCCGGCACCGGGTTCCTTCGCCAGCCCCACCTCCCTAAGCCAGACTGTTAAAACTTGCAACCGGAGACCGCCAGGCAGAGAGCTAAGGGGTGGAGTGGACTTACCTGGAGTCGAGGCCACACGGCAGGGGACAGAGATGCCACTGGGGAAGGCCAGGGGTGGGGGAGGAAAGGACTGATTTTGTCTGGGGAATGGAGTGGCACAGTGGGGCGCAAGGAACCCGTACGCTGTCCCCCGTTGTGGCGCGGCTTACCCGGTTGATCTCCTCCAGCCTCCTCTCCTGCCGAGCTTTGAGCAAGCCGAAAGCCTTCCCTCCTGTGGGAGACAAAGAGGCAACGGGGAAGCGAGGCGACCTCCCGGGCCACGCGCCCCCTCCGAGTTCCCGCGCGTGCCTCGCCGCGCGCACAGGTGACGACCGGGGACGCCGGGCGCCGGACAGCACCGGACAGCAGACGCCTACCTTGGAACCTGTTGCTGACCGCGATCGACATTGTGTGCGCCCGACTCCGGTCAACGCGAGGGACGACGGGGAGGAAAGCGCGCCTGGTCCAGAGTTTCGGCGGCGTGTGGCGACGGGACCCAGGGGCGGAGGGACCGCGCGGCCGGACACACCCCGCCCAGCCGGCGGCCCGCCTCTTGCGCCCCTCCCCGCGGCCGCGCGCGCCCAGGGCATCAAAGCCGCTGTTTCGCTGGACGCTTAGCGCTTAGCCCGCCGATGCCCCTCTACTGGAGGACGCGGAAAATGCACAACGGGACCGCCCTCTCTCCCGGTCCTAGTCCACCAGAAGAGACAATGTCACAACTCAATGAGACGTTCGCAGAGCTGGTTGTGAAGATCAAGTGTCAATAGAGGCTGTCACCTTACTGTTGCCTTTGCCCAGTAGTGCCACTATGACACCAATTAAATCAATTAGATAAATTGTAATAAAGACTTTATTGGGCACCCAAGGTTACCTGACACTGTGTGTGTCATTTCATCCCCCAATCTACGAAATAGGACGGGTATGCCTATTTGAAAGAAAAGTTTGGAAGCTGAAGCTGGGGCACAACTCCTCTAGGAGGATAAAGAAAGCAGTTAATGACTCCAGATGAAACTAGGACGTGGTTCTTTATAAAGAAAGAGATCATGCATTCTAGTGTCCAGTCCTATCACTCTTCCAGAGAATTGTTAAAATGTGGGCACGGGCAACAGAGCAGGATTTTCCTGCCCAGGGGAAGGAGACACCACTTCTGCTGTATGTCTCTGGGGACTGGATCCAGGAATTCCCCTTCCCCAGACTTGTCTCAGGTCTGGACTCCTTACATTGGGATCCTGGGACCAGATGATTGTTTTATTTTTTTCTCCAGGGGAGAAAAATGGTCAGGCTCACATAGGGATTAAGGTGAGCAAAGATGTGCAGAGGGCATGGACCCCTTGGGTCACTACATGGTAGTATTCCCTCTAAAAGCTCAGGCAGGAACTGTACTCAGAATAGGGTACTCATTGGTCCAGTCTCTGACTGCCTATTGTCATAGCTAGTTGGGTCAAAACCTTTCCTGGGAAGCACAACACACACATGTACCATGCACCCCTTCACTCCAGTTAGGGAACCCAGGATAGACCGAAGTAGGGATACCACCGAAGTCCAGCTTGGTGAACCAGTGAGTTTTATTGGGGTGAGGGGTTACTTACAAAAGAAATGACTCACAGACAGCTGCATCACCAAAGCCCACCACAGGGTGGGTGACAGCTCACAAAGCTGGGAACCTGGACACACTGCACAGCCTGCAGACAGTTCAATAAGGTTGCATGGAGAATGTCCTTTCCAGATATCTCAGTTGGTCTAATCTCTCCGGGCAGCTCTTCTTTTCAGAGAGCTTGGCAGCTGGGCTCTGCTCACCCTGTCAGGGAGGAGGCTAGTGATTCTGGTCAGCTTCAGGGAGTTTTTGAAGCTATTGTCTTTGGTTATTTAGTTCCCTGCTTTGGATGCTCCCCTGCAAGATGGAATGTTTTAACCCCAGAGGAGACTTGTTACACAACAGCTGTTCCTGGCTGTTCCATGGGATAAGGCAGGGGCCCTGCCGTGTTCTCCTGCTCAGCTGGATGCCTTGTTAGCCAGATGTTCCACTGTGGCTTCATCCTACTCAGTCATGAGCAGCCCCACCTCTGGGGCTTCGAGTGGCTCTGCATACACGAGGCATGACCATACTGCATGAGTCACAGGTCAGGCCTGAGACTTGTCACCCAGGGACGGAGAGGAAGCCTGGCCTCCACCCACTGGGGATTCTGGGGCTGGGCTTTGTTGTGCATCATTGGTCAAGTGAGTAGGGGCTGAACATGTCTGTCAGAGGACAGACTGGGTTAAGGCCAGAGGAATGTCAGATCCCGTCTCAGAGTTTGTTTTGGAACCCCCATTCGCTTTGCATCATATACACCAGAGCCTCTTCACTCAATTGCCTATCTTCAGCCTTTCTACCCTGACCCTGGCAACCCACCAAGTCAGTCTCACTCAGCTTAAAACAACCACCACATCGGCCTTACCTTCACCCTGACTTTAAGGTTCTCTCTGGAGGAACTGGCCAGCCCCCTCCCCATTGCTCTAGGAGGGAGGTGTAGGACCAGGAGTCCCTGTTATTTTGACCATGCTGGGGACCTGACCACTCAGACGTTTGACTTGGGACTGGAGTGATGGCTCAGCAGTTAAAAGAATTGTCTATTTGTCCTCTTGGGTTTGGTTCCCAGCAATCACATGGCAGCTAACAACTGTCTATAACTTCAGTTCCAGAGGATCTGAAACATGTATATAGTTCCCAGACATGCATGCAGGAAAAACACACATACATATAAAATAAAAATGAATAAATATCAAAATAAAAATAATAACCAATAATTTGCAAGCCCAGGGCTTTGGGGGGGGCTGTACAGTGCCATCACCCATCAGGCTCAAGAAAGAGAGTGGCACACTGGGCAGTAGTGGCAACCACCTTTAATCCCAGCACTTGGGAGGCAGAGGCAGGCAGATTTTTGAGATCGAGGCCAGCCTGATCTACAGAGAGAGTTCCAGGCCAGTTAGGGATACACAGAGAAAACCTGTCAAGAAAAACAAAAACAAAACAAAAAGAAAAAGAAAAAGAAGGAAGGGAGGGAGGGAGGAAGGAAGGAAGGGCAGACAGACAAGGAAAGCAACTTGCAGAAGCAAGACCAAAGCAAACAAAGGAAGCAGAGCTGGGGCCCAAGGAAGGAGGTAGAAGAAAGCAGCTACCCACCACGGCAGCCCCAGGCTACAGTCTCCAGGTTTCTCTGTAGCCTGGCAGCCTTTTCTAGTCCAAGATTCCAAATCACCCTTCCATTGACCTCTGCTTTCTGGTTGAAGCTAATCCAGGAAATCCTTTTGGCTTTGTGCAAAGAGCCATGGTAGACTAGAGTGTGCTTTACAACCTGCTCTAACCTAGGTTTGTAATGGCCTATGCTGGCCAGGCTCCTTCCCTGTAACCCTGGTTGCTGCCTACCCTCTTATCTGGGACATTCTCTCCTCCCTTCTAGACCCAAGCCTTACTCCTGCTTGATGGTATCCTTCCATGCTCCCTGCAGAGCTACTGACAGGACAGTTTTAAGTTCAGTTTTCCTGCCTCAGTATTTCCCCCTGAAGCAGCAATCAGTTAGTTGAAAACCTCTTTACAGGCCACCTCTCCCCTGGCCCCTAGTGTTTGAAAGTTCCCTGGATCTGAAAGGAAAGGGGGTGGTCACATGGCCTCTGCAAACTTGCCATGACAGACTCTGGCATGACATGAGCCCAATTCTGCCAATTTCCTTCCCACATGTTGGGATCACCAGTGTAGGCTCTACCTACTTGCAGGGCCAGCCACAAAGAGGCGCTCTGTGCATACCCACAGCAGGCCCTGGCTGCCCACCAGCAGTGCCCATCAAAGACATACACCCGGCTCAGAAAAGGGTCTTTTATTTCCTTATAATCAGAATCGGTCCACATCACCGTCAGTTCTTCTGGGATCTGGGGAAGGGTTAGGGCTAGCAAAGGTGGCTGTTATCCTAGTGCCTAGGCCTTGCTATGTACTAAGATGGCCCAGAAAAAGAGGGGGAACATCAGGAAGAAATGCCAGGGATTCCTGGGTAGAGGCAGCCATGAGCAGCAGGCCTAGAATGACAGCCAGGCTTCCACACCCTATGGTGTCCTTCATGACAGGTGGAGCCACAGAGCCAGTTTGAGAAGTGCCAATCAAAGGCTGATCAGGTCAGCAGAGTACAAAGGGCTGTTCCTACTGCCTGCTTGAGGCCTCATGACCCAAACCCTGAGGAACCTGGTTCTTCAGGTAGATCAGAAGACTGAGGAGGGATGGGTCTGGGTAGAGACTTCCTTCAGTGAGTCTGCTGCAGATCCAGATCCATGGAGGGGAGAGTCCACAAAAGACAATGGCATCTGTGTCATTGCCCTGTGAGCCTTTTAGGCCATACCATGGCTTTGGATGCCACTTTCTGAGAATCCTGTTAGAGTCTTGACATTTCTTGATCTGCCTAGCACCTTAGTTCTTAGAGCTGCTAGGAGACCAGTGGGTGATGGGGGAGCATAGTAGGCCCAAGGCCAGATCTGTGACCATGGGTGTGGGATTTGCCTTCTCAAGATCTCTGTGGATAACCTCTCAGCTTTGGAGGTGCCCCCCTGTTTGAGCTCTGCTCTCTGGAGGGGAGGGTTGTAGATATGTCGGAATTTTTCATATCGGGACTCACCCAGGATGCAAAGTGTGTCCAAGCTCATGGCTGCCCCTTGACAGCCCCTTGCACGCACAGATGGTCCCCCACACACATGCCCGCATCTGAACGGATGCAGTATCTTACTGATGCTGGGGGTGAGCACACATGCAGGGCTCCACGCAGTGCCACCTGTGGAGTTGTGAACATGGATTCACCCCTGCTGCTCTCACTGAAGAGGGTCATTCAAATGAGCACACAGCAGGCAGACACGAGGCACCTACAGGCACCTACGGGGAGTGAGCAGGAAACAGCAAGGTGGGGAGGGTGTGCCGGGGTCTAGCTGGCACAGTGCTCTGGGAGGCTGCTCAGAATGGTCTCCAGGTTGTGCTTGTCAGCGCGGATCTCAGCAAGGTCGCTCTCAAAGCTCTGGATCTGCAGCTCCTGCCGTGCAGACTCTTGTTCCAGCTGCCTCAGTTTGTGATGCAGGGCTCCGTGTGAACCCAGTTGCAGCCTCAGGCTTTCTAGGGCCTTTTGGGTCTCATTCAGGATCTGAGTAGGAGCTTGGTGGGTATCCAGGGACCCTGTAGAGGAGCACAGGCAGGGTCAGCAGAGGCCAGCTGCCTGCAGGCCTTGGAACCCATACCCAGGCCAGACACTCAGATCCTGGTCAGTCTACCACCTCCTGGGAAAAAAGGACTGAGAAGGGATGTAGAAGGGGTTAAAAGCCTGGTTGTCCATCTCATGGAGTTCACATGCAGAGTTAATTACTGGAGCTGGAGAGTTAAGAGTACATGTTACTCTTGCAGAGGACCCAGGTTCAGCTGCCAGCACCTACATGGTAGCTTATAACTGTCTGTAATTCCAGTGCCAGGGTATCTCACACCCTCTTCTGGCCTCTGTGGGCACTGCATGTACATGGTGCACTTATACTCAGGCAA